GCCTTGACCAGAGATGGCAAACCTTTTGAGCTTGGCGTGTCAGCATTTTGAAAAATCGTAACTTAACTCTGGTGCCGTGTCACATAGAGAAATTTTTTGATATTGCAACCACAGTAAAACAAAGATTTATACTTTTGATATTTATTTTATATATTTAAATGCCATTTAACAAAGAAAAATCAACCAAAAAAATGAGTTCGTGTGTCCCCTCTGACACGCATGTCATAGGTTCACCATGACTGCTATACATCATCACAATCCATCTATCTCTCTATATAAAAGCCTAAGCAACCAAATGACCATTTGACCAGTCACTATGATTCGCACTGACTACCAGGGGGCAGAAGCTCAACACCGCTCAGCTGACTGACAGGTGCCAGATGCTGGGCTCAGAGATGGCTCCTCCTGGGCCACCTACTGCTTGGTGTACTCTTACATCCCTCAGGGGGTGTTGGGCTGCCATTTTCGGCCTCTATCCCTGGGGATCGGGGAAACCAGCAGTCCAAACCGTCTGTCTGACATCCCCCGAGGGGGCCCGAATTGCTAGAGGGCACAGGCCAGGCTGAGGGACCCCACCGGTGTATGAATCTGTGCACTGGGCCTCTGGTAGATTTATAAAGAAAAGTGCAGGGAGCTATAGAGAATAGAAATTAAATTGTGGTGAAGGTCAGAAGCAACAGGAGGGATTTGTCAGGAATGGACACTTGAGTGGATATCCATAAGATGAATGGTGAGAGGTAGACAGGTCTGGGAGTAGCTCACTCAGTAGAGGGACAGAAGAGTTTAAGCCTTAAGGTAGGTTTTACCTGTGTGACCAGGGAATAAGAATGCTGGCAGTGAGGGGCATAGATATTCTGGTTAAACAAAGAGTGGTTTCTTCTGTGGCACTCTGGGTTTCACCATCCTTGGAATGAAATGGCCTTCACACTCTCTGGCATCTTTGTTCAAATTTATTTTCACAGAATAGCTTGGATAATTGCTTGGGCATCCCAGGCCCTGTAGGACTTGGAAAGAGGGTACCTGATGGGTGAACAGCGGTATTCAGACTCTTATATTAAACTAGAGGCCAGTGCACAAAATATGTGCACTCAGGGGGTTCCCTCAGCCAGGCCTGCACCCTCTTGCAGTCCGGGAGTCCCTGAGGACAGTCAGACATCCGTAGCGCTGCTGCAGAGACAGGAGAGGCTCCCACCACCACTGCTGTGCTTGCCAGCCATGAGCCCAGCTTCTGGTGCCCGAACCACCAGAGAGCAGATCCTGTATCGAGCATCTGCCCCCTTGTGGTCAGTGCACATCATAGCAATCAGTTGTTCCACTGATCTGCATAATAGCCTTTTATTATATAGGACTAGAGGCCCGATGCATGAAATTTGTGCATGGGGCGGGGAGGATCCCCTCAGCCCAGCCTGCACCCTCTCCAATCCGGAACCCCTCGGGGCATGTCTGACTGCTGGTTTTGGACATCCCTCTCACAATCCTTGACTGCTGGCTCCTAACCGCTAACCTGCCTGCCTGCCTGATTACCCCTAACTGCTCCCCCTCCCCCGCTGGCCTGGTTGACCCCAACTGCCACCCCTGCCAGCATGGTCCCCCATGCAGCCTGTTGTTCAGTCATTTGGTCACCCCTCACTAACTCCCCTGCCAGCCTGGTTGCCCCACACAGCCTGTTTGGTCATCCGTTCAGTTGTGATAGTCGCTTAGGCTTTTATATAGATAGTCATGGGGTATGTACCTTCTTACCTGCAAGGATGAGGGTCAGACTTTCTACAGTAATGTGACACCCCAGGCACCCTCCCCAGGTAGCAGCCTAGGCACTGCCAACACTCCTTCCACAAGAAAGCCAATACCAGGCCATCCATGCCCCTTTTAGGCACGCCACTATGTAATTCCTAAGAAAAGCTGTAAAAATTAAATAAGTTAGTGCAGGTAAACTATTAAGGAGTGTAATATAGTTATTCGGTCAAAACTACCACGTATGAAACCGTTTGGGGGAAAAAGAAGGTCCTCATTGCCCTCTCGGGATGCATAGGTTGGAGGTAGGATGGGACAAGAGGCGCAGGGCTAGATTTCAGGGCCTGCCAGGTTACAGGCTTTGGTAGAACAGTGAGAGGCACATAATGGCAGCAAAATAAATATCAGTGAGAGCTATGACTGGTGTTACTTCTAGCATGTAAATTAATGATCCTTGGATATACCAATTAAAAGATGGCTATAGTAAGTATGCTTACAAAGAAAAGTAAAGCACTAAAATATGAAGTTCCATTTTAGTGTAAAGACTCTTCCTTACTTAGGAAATGACAGCATATTAAATGTAATCAGGCTGGCCCTGGCCGGTGTGGCTCAGTTGGTTGGGCATGGTCCTGTGCACTGAAAGAAAGGTTGCCAGTTCCATTTGGGTTGAGGCACATGCCCAGGTTGCAGGCTCGATCCCCGGTAGGGGGCGTGCAGAAGGCGGCAGGTGGCGCTCTCTCTCTCTATCGATTAAAACATTTAAAACGACAATTTAAATGTAATCAGGCTGAAGACTTCTTTGGTGTCTCCGTCCCATGCCTCCTAGTCCAAGCTGAACTAAGCTGGTGCAATGGAAACAGGTGATTTATGCTTCACAGGCCAGGGGCCAGCAGCAAGTGCGTCCTGGTAAGGGGGCGGGTGAG